ATGTTGTGTTCACAGTTGTACCCCAGTGCCTAGACTGGTAGATTCTCAATAAATATTTGTTGAATTAATGAGTTAATAATGAATGTTTTACCACCATCAGCACCATCACTGGCATCACCACCATCATCACCTCCACCACTACTATCATCACCACCGCAACTACCATTGTCATCATCATCATCATAATCAAAACCACCTCCACCTCCGCCGCCACCACCACCAACCACCACCATTACCACTGCCATTATTACAATCATCATAACCAGCACCACAGCCACCATTACCGTCATCACCATCACCACTACAACCACCTTCAGTACCATCATCGCCACCAACATCACCATCACCATACCACATTTGGTACCTAATCCTCTTTGGGAACTCCTTCTCCAGGAACGCATTTAGAATCTTCTAATTCACACCTTCCTTCACTTACTGTCTTATTCAAAATTCATGTGCTCTGAGCACCATTACCTTCAAACCTTGTTCTTTTCTAGGAGGCAGCTAGTTAATTTGATACAGTAATTGTGTTATTTGTAATGATGTGTTACTATTGGCCCTCTAAGGTATACGAGCAGAGAGTAAGGACAATACTTAGCTCCAGCTCAGCCACTGATTTGCTGTGTGTCTTTGACTGCATGACATGACTTCCAAGGACCTCCATTTCTTCCCCTAGAAGACCCTTGGAGAGTCTTCTGCATCTCACAGACTGCTTCTGAACACATGTGAAAAGAGATCTTCTATGGATAAAGTCTTCACCCAGAGGAGTGAATCTACGCAGGGGTGAAATATTGGGAGGTTTCACAGAGAATTAAGTAAGCAGCATCTGCAGTGACCTCACTATTGCGGCAGCAGCTGCACCTCGCTGGAGAAGCCCCCTGCCCCGAGTTGCTGCCAGATCCAATCAGTCACAGGCAGAAACAGGCATGGGCAGGTAACCCCCTGCAGTAATGCCAGGCTATTGTTACCAACTCCCCTTTCCCCAAAACCATGCTGTCCCTGTCACAACATGTCATAGCACAACTGTTCTGATGGGCTAACTGGGAGCTCAGAGTCCACATCTGGTTTCTTTACAGCATTTTGGGGTTAGAAGTAGAATGTTTTGTTAATACGATGTGAGAAAAAGTTTCAGATGGCACAAAGCCTCCTTTGTAAATTTCCCTGATCATTTTCCTGGTGGGGACTGTCACATTAGAAATGAAGTGGAAAGAAAGCAGCAATCAAGCATTACAATTTAAAGCAGGAATGGTAACTTTAGGCAAGTTTCTTCTTTCTTTCTACTCTCCTTTTTGAAATTTTCTTTTCTTCCTTAAATCCATCTGCAGTGTAGATTTGGTAGAATGCACTACTCAGTATTTACAGTAGTCTCAACAAAACTTTGCTTATGTAAGGTTGTAACATCTCAGGCCCAATCCCCAGACAGTGAGATTACAGGATTTTGGAGTTTTTCTTTCTCCTGAGGGAAATCCAACAGCCCCAGGTTGTCCAGATTGCCATAAACTTTTCCTATTTTCACATAAAAGTGAAGCAAACAACAACCCAAAAAACGAGCTAGAGAAAATACCAAATATATAAAGGCAAAAAAAAAAAAGAGAGCATTGTTTTGAAGAATAAAGGGATTTTCTTACGGCACTGGGAATACCAAATGAGGTTTGAGTACAGGGACAAAATTTTCTTTCAAAGACAAATAAGACCTGGAGAGGTTAAGTTACTTGTCCTGGGTCACACAGTAAGTTAGTAGCAAAGCCAGACAGTGGTCAGATCTCTCAACTTGGGACCAAGACCCTTTCCACACAACACTGCCTTCCCTCTCCCCTTAGCAGAGGGATGAAAACTGCTGGTTTTGAAGGAGTTGAGAAGAGAGATCCTCCATGTGGGCAAGAAGAGAGTGTTATTCGCATTCTATAAGCTGAGAAATTGAGCTATGGAGTAATTTAATGTTGGGGTCCACAACAGGGGGTGACTTTGACCCCAGGGAATATTTGGTGACATCTGCAGACATTCTTAATTGTCACAAGTTGAGGGGAGGGAAAGGAGGGTGATATTGGCACCTTGTTTGTAGAAGGTAGGATGCTACTAAATATCCTACAATGCACAGTACAGCCCCCACAACAGAGAATTATCCAGCCCAAAGTGTCAGTTTTACTGAGGTTGACAAACCATGGTTTATTGGCTCACTCCAGGCCATATACACTGGACAATAAAGGTTTTTATCTGAGGATTATGTGCTTAAAACCCAGATGTCTGTTGCCAGTCACAGAAAGTTAGCACAATATGAGTCATCACCCACGCTCATTTAGCACCAGGCACCCAGCTACTCTGCAGACTCCTTGCTAATCTTCAGTGCTGGACTTTGTCATGAACACTGTAAGCAAATTTGTCTTTGGGGTCCAGCCATCTGCTCCTGCCTCCTGTCCCCACTCCCTTCTCCCTCTTCCGGTGTCCAGCCAGGACCACACAGCTTTATCCCCACCCTTCCTGACAACACTTCCTCCAGGAAAGTTCCGCCTTCCACCACATTCTCCTTGGCATGAGGTGAAGTGGATGTATTAGCCCTCCCAAAGAATTTGCATGTCACGGTGTTCCTCTGCTCTAGTATTTGGACCCTGTGAAAGGAATTTCGAGCCTCAGTGACCAGGCTGGGGAGGTCTTTGAGAAAGAAAGTTCCCATAACAATGGTGTAGGCAGCATCTGTTCTATCAGAAGGCTGGGTCACCCCTGAGGCAAACAGACAGGCCTATTGTCTTCTGAGTCCCAGGTGTGGCTTGACTGTACCAACATCACCACTTTCTTTCTGGGCTCCCCAAATAATTTCCTCATATTTTAAGAAAAATCTTTACTTGAGAAATTTGAGGGCTTTTTTTTTTTTCCCCTAGTCTTTGCTTAACTTCACTCTGCAATTTCCTGATAGATTTCTAGGATTCGTGAACAGGAAGGTAACGGTCTGAATGATCAGAAAACATGATTTAAAAAAAAAAGTGTCATCTTTTTAATTTTGTTTTGCAGGTCGATATCTTAGTTTTAAAAATCATTATAAATGAATTGATTCTGGAAACAGTCGCAGAACTATTCCAAGGATTGAAAGAGGCAATAAATGTGAAAGGGTTTTGAAAACTACCAAGTGTTTTGCATATGCGAGCAGTAAAGATGGTGGAAAGAGAAATATTATTCAAGCCGCCCAGGGTCTCTAACTCCCAAAGCACCCCACCCCCCCGGTGCCCCCCAAACCAAAACCAAACCCAACCAAACTGTTCTGCAAGTAGATTCTCTGTATCTAGTTCTAAACCTTGTAATTGGGTTATACATTTTCAAAATTAGAACTTCATAGACTTTTTATGATTAATGAAATTTCAAAGCAATTTGCATTAGGATTATGCGCTTGATTCAAGACTTGAGAGCTTCCACTTAGCCAAGCGCCAGTGGAGACAGTATTAGGTGAGCTGCTTCATATTTTCTTCCCTCTTGCAATGGGCTGTGCTAGGCAGTGATTTCTGGATTAGCAAAAATACACAAACTGCATGAGTAAGCTTAGGCTGATGAGCAGGCCATTTTAGGATGCTTAAAAAGGAATTAATTTATATTCATCCACTGCTAGCTGTTGCTTCCCTTTTCATGGCAAACCTATCATGGTAACCTCAAAGAAGAGGAAATGGGGAAAGCTTGTCTGTGAAACAGGAAAAATAGAGAAAAAATAGATATCAACTGCAGTTTGATACGTTGTGATAACTAGTTCTTGTAAAGAAATTCTTAATTTTTTTTTTAAATTCGTTGTCTTTTCATTATGTAAACTAACAGCAGAAACTATATGTTAGTTTTTGCCGTAACTTTTTAAGCTTCACTATTTATTAAATTTACATGTAGCTTAGTTATTAATAAAATAAAAAATATCCCTCCTTCTTAAAAGCTGACCAGACAGTACACCTCATATCATTATCAGCCTAATATTTTTATATTAACAATACTGATTTTATGTAACTCAAAAGAATACACAAACAAACTCAAGGATAAGATTCTTCCCAAGAGAGAAGTTTTTAGAAACTTTAAAGATACTGATAATATGACTTTTTTTTTTTTGCTCAGTTTTGCATTATATACAATACCCACCCAACCTAAGGTTTCTTCAGGAATACTGAGCTCATGAATCAGATTTCATATGCCTTTATGCACCAAGGAGATGACTCTACGTGTTGTGTAGATCAGTGCATTAGAGGACTGCAAGGGACCTAAGTGTCACATTTAATACTCCTACCACACCTGAACCCTAACCTTCCCTCTTATGGGAGCGCTATCACCTCTCTCAGCAAACCGTTCCATTGGAGGATCTCTGCATTCCCAAAGGTGTTTCATGATTTTCCACAGAGACCAGCATGGAAGGAAGAAAGTATCTGGACTTGAAGTCAGCAGACCTGGGTTCTACTGAGGCTTCATCACTGACCTCACCCAAGTATGTCCTAAGTTGTAAAATGGCATTAGTGGTGCCTACCCTATTTACCTCGTGGAACTCCTGTGAATTATAAATACCCATGTTATCAGCTATAAAGCACTATGGTGAGATATCATTGTAATAGAAGCTAGGATTAACTAGAGCCATTTATTTCTTTATTCTTGCTATTTGTGTGAAAATAGAGAAAAGCTAGGTCTTGCATGTCTTTCTTTTTTTTGTGCCTTTCGATCAATTGATTGATTGATTGATTATGGTCACTGACATTTTGTCACAGCCACTCCTCGATCCTGAGACAAGAGATTCTTAAGAATAATGGGTCTGTGGTATCATGTTATCTATCACCATTTGTTTTAAACTGAAGAAACATACAGTGTTGAGAAAATAATTCTGTTCTAGAGTACATGATAAGCTTAGAGCTATACTTGATGTCATAAGCCTGAATCCTACAAATGGAAGTTTATTGCTAATTGTCATTTCAACAACTTAATGAACCAGCATCTATACTGAAGCAAATGATGTGTGTTGTAGATTTTAATAATCATTAGTTGTTGCTTACCATGGCAGAACCAACTCGGCTGACTTTGATGGGATTCCCTCTACCAGAAAGGTCCATTTCTGCTTTGTCCATTATATACAGGCACACATCAAGGATGCCATCCTCAAACTATCCAGGAGAAAAGAAAAGGAGAAACTACTTAATGTTCACTATGCAAAAAATGTGTTCTCTGCTTAAAAATACAATGAATCTACAATCTAATTAGTATATTTCCTATAAAAGAATCTCTCATAATATTTAGTATGAAGCATCAAAGTGAAAGGAAGACATCCTTTTTTTTTATCCAGTACAACTAACAAGAACATAAAAGCAAACCATAAATATAAACAAAACTACTAGACAGCTGATCTACTCAAGGAACATGGATTGATTTGAAGTTCTTCAGACAGCTGATCTACTCAAGGAACATGGATTGACTTGAAGTTCTTCAGAAGGTTGTACAAGTGAATTTAGACAATTTTTCCAACATATCAGTGTCCAAGCAAAGGGAAGAATGATTTACCATGAATGAAGTCTTGAGACTTCAAAAATAGCACGAGTTGTGAGTCCTTGTGCACCTTTAAAATAAATGACTCCCAGGTATATCGTAGTGACATACTTCAGGCATAGTTAGCTTACACCCAAAATAGTACGAGACCTTATCTAATAAATTTCAGCCTAAGGTTCCCCTCTTCTGAGACAAGGTGAACCCCAGGGTCAAAGAGAGGGCACAGAGGCCTAGAGAGACTAGATTGTATCATCAAAGGCATTCCTGGTGGTCAGTTCAATTTGCCTAGAAAAAATTGCTAGCCACAGAAAATACCAGAATTTTCTTAAAAAGGAATAGAGATAAGATAGTAATAAAAGGGCAAGTTTGAAAGATTTCACCTATACCGTAACTCAATATAATAGGACATTTCCCTGAATACAGAAATCTTGCATATCACCTATCCAATTACTTGTGACAGAAACCACAATCTTAATAGCCAGTTACCATGTAATTCTTTATTAAATCCAGTTAGAAAACCGACTCTGTGGGTACCCAAAACTGAAATGATAGATGCAGTAATGGGTAATTGCACAAGTCCTTCAGGTATATAAATAGCTCATTATTCTGGTTCTTATTAAGCAGCATGGCTCAGTTGTGTCTACGGGACATGATAGAACTAACTGGAGAGATAAAGAATTAGTCATATATCTGGTTGTTTCCCTATATCACTCCAACAACACACTTGACTTGTTATTTTGGCTGAAGGAACCAAATCAACTGATTTTTTAAGTGATATTAGATACAGCAGTGCCTGTGCTCAAGGGTTGTTGTTAGTTGCTGTTGATTTGGCTCTGACTCATGTTGTTGTTGTTAGGTGCCGGTCAAGTTGGCTCCAATCCATAGTGACCCTATGTACAACAAATCAAAACACTTCCTGGTCCTGCACCATCCTCACAATTGTTATGCTTGAGCCAATTGTTGCAGCCACTGTGTCAATCCATCTCATTGAAAGTCTTCCTCTTTTGGATGACCTTCTACCTTACCAAACATGATGTCCTTCTCCAGGGACTGATCCCTCCTGGTAACATGTCTAAAGTATGTGAGATGTAGTCTCATCATCCTTGCTTCTAAGGAGCATTCTGGTTGTACTTCCAAGACAGATTTGTTCATTCTTTTGGCAGTCCATGGTATATTCAATACTCTTCTGACTCATAGTGACTCCATATATAATAAAACTCAGTGTTGCCCAATCCTGTGCCATCTTCATGATCCTTGGTATGCTCAACTCCATTGTTGCTGCCATTATATCAATCTATCTCATTGAGGGTTTTCCTCACCTTCCCTGGCCCTCCACTTTGAGAAACATGATGTCCTTTACCAGATATCAGTCCCTCCTTATGACATGTCCAAAGTGAGTGAATTGAAGACTTGGAAAATATTCTGTGTTCCATAGAATTTTCATCAGCTGATTTTTGGAAGTAGATCATCAGGCCTTTCTTTCCAGTCTTGTCTTAGTCTGGAAGCTCTGCTGAAACCTCTCCTCTATGGGTGACCCTGCTGATATTTGAAATACTGGTGGCATAGCTTCCAGCATCACAGTAACATGCAAACCACCACAGTATGATAAACTGACAGATGAGTGGAGGGTTTCAGGGGTACCCACTATTACAATCAAAGGCATGCTGGCTCAGGAGTACCCTGGCCCTGCTTGGGACACTTTCCCAGTACTACTTGCTACTCACTTTGCTGAGTTTTCTTTTTATTGGCCATCTATTGTTTGTCACTTTAGGTCCATAAATAAAACCACACCTAAAGGCTAGGAATTGAGGATCCGAGGCAAGGGCATCAGATAATAGGCAGTAGTCAAAGGCTGTGTGGTCACCCAGGAAAGGAAGGCATGTAACCAGGCAGCCAGACAGAGGCTCAAAAACAATGGGCTCAAGCTTGAGCTTGGCAGGGCTTGAGAAAGGCAAAAGGGCAAGCCAGAGTTAGGGTGAGGAGCTGGTCTCAAAGCGAGGTGGATAAGACAAGCGCTACCAATGGTCATGCTAGAGTTGGGGGTGAGGCATCTAGAGAGCATTCAGATGGAAGACAAAACAAGATAGAGGAGAAAGAAAGCACCATGAAAGCAAGAAAGCACCCTGTGGGCAGATGAAATCCCTCTCTGGATCCACAGAACAAGAATTCCTGATTCCAGTAATCTTGGCCCAAACCCTGAGAAATGAGAAGGGACATATTCATTTCCTCACATGTTGCTAATGAAAAACAGTTTTTTAATCACATGGCATGTATTCATTTATGGAAACGTGATGTCATTCATTTGTTCCACTGTTGAAGATACCACACTGAAAGAGTTTGAATAATTGAATATCTTAAAGGAAATACCATTTGCTACTTTATAGCTAGATAGTTGCTTGAGATTGCAGCTGGTAAGGTGTCTCTAAGTCAAAGTCCTCCTTTGATGAACCGTAACACTCCTTTCTAATTAGCAGTATCCTATATATACTGACACTTACGCAAAAGTGATTTCTTTGAGTTGGGCACACATCTTGCAGTATCCTTTGCATCATTTTCAAAAGTCCATTCTTTATAAGGAAAGGAAAACCAGTTCATTCCAGATAGAATAGCAATGTCTGCACTAATGAGAGTTCACTGTACTGAGATGCATTTCTCAATAGAGTGCCATGTTATCCATAGAATGGTTGATCTCCATAACATTGTAATAACCAAAGATATGTGGTTTCAATTGATAAATTATGCAGCTGTCTCTAAAAGTCTCTACTCCCATTCGCTCTGTCTTGCAGTCTCAGATCCTGGAAAGCAGGAAATTATGCTTGTCTAATATTGATGTATGGCACCTGCAGTGATTCATGGGACAAAAACATTAAATAAAAGTGCCCTTGACAATGACAAATTTTAAATGGCTCACCTGACCATAGCTCCAGCTTCTATTCTTGATGTCCTTGACTTCTCCATGGAAAATAACCCCGATGTCGTTCAGGACATACTCTTCTCGTTCTCTCTCATCATCCAGATACACAGCATCCTCTGCAGCAGGATTTAAACATAGTGGCCATCACCATTATGAAACTGTTTTCAAATACTTCCAAGTTTATTTTTTTTCTAAACTGCAATTTAATCAACTAAATGACAAAAAAAAAAAAAAGATATTTTGTTTCGCTTAGCAGAGCTCATTTCCTAGTACGTAACTTGTAGCGATGGCGAACACTATCAGCACCAAAAGCCAGTCTGTGAATGATGCCTGATGCAAAATGCTGACAAACTGGACTTTTAAGTTTCATGCAAGATAATTAAATTTATATGTCTCATTAAACATTTTTTTGTTCTGGTGCATCGGAAGTTTCAGAATCAGAATTCTATGATGCTGATACAAACCTCTAACAGAGATTAAAAAAAAAATTCCAATCTATTAATGTTAATAGAAAACTAGCCAAATTGAAAATTATTTTGAAAACAAATCTGGGGTACACTTGAAAATAGTAATTGAGTCAACTCCAACTCATGGTGACCCAATGTGTATAGAGCAGAACTGCTCCATAGGGTTTTCAAGGCTGTGACTCCTTGGACATAGATCGCCAGGTCTTTCTCCTGAGGCTCCACTGGGTGGATTCAAACCGCCAACCTTTCAGTTAGTAGGCCAGTGCCACCCAGGAATCTTCATTGAAAGACAGTGTTTATCATGCCTGGTTTATGGGCCATCACTGGCAGAAGGAGGGAGGCTGCTGGCTGTCTTTTTTTAATGAACAATCCTTGTGCATGGCTTGGTAGGTGTGTGTCCAACCAGACTCCCTGGTTAGCTGCCTCTAGTGCAAGGACTTTTTTCCCTGGGGCTATAATCTCAGGAAGGCCCCCATGCTTCCTGTCCACCTACTTATCAGTTTGGTACTTGTTCCCAGGCCGGGTGTGGGAGAAGCAAAACTATCTTTAATAAGATAGGGCCATATAAGTGTGCATCACACTCAGATAAGCTTGAGTGTTTGGAAAAGAGTCAATCTTGGTTCTGATTGGGATAGGCATGGTTCGTTACCTTTCTCTGGCCTAGGTCCTATCTGTCATCCCTATTACCTCATTAGGGATTTTCCTCCTTATTCCCTGAAAAGGCTTTGATCACTCTCCCTAGAGTGATGGTTCTCACAGCCTTGGCTGCACATTAGAATTGGCTGGGGTCGGATCCAGATATCAGGGCCTTTTTTTTAAGATCCCAGTGATATTTCTGTGCAACTGAAGTTAAGAAGAAATGCTGTAGCCCCTTGCTACTCAAAGTGTGGTTTAAAGATGAGCAGCAGCAGCATCACCTGAGAGCTTGTTAGAAATGTAGAATCTCAGGCTCCACTTCAGACCTTGAATCAGAATCTGCATGTTAACAAATCCTCAGGTGGTTTCTATATACATTCAAACTTGACACGCGCCGCTCATTCCAATCATCTGAGACCCCTATTCTGGGCTGTATGATCCTTTAGAATGAATCCTTTGCTGATTCCTTGGTCTTGTCTGGTCTCTAACATTTTCTCGTATCTTTCTTTTTCTGTTCTCTGCCTCTTGTCTACCATTTGCCTGTTTTCATGCAACTCTAGATATATATATGTGTATATATATATATGTATATATATGTATATACATATATATATATGTATATACATACATATATATATACACGAAGCATATATATAATATAGATAATATTACATATATACATCTATGTATGTATAATCTTGACATCCAATAAACAGCACAGATTTAAAGTATATTGTTTCACAATCAAGATATTAAATCTATCCATCACCCCTAAAGTTTTCTTGCACTTCTTTGTAATTCCTCCCTCCTGACTCCCCTTCCATCCCTAGGAATCTGCATTCTGTCGCTATAGGTTAGTTTGCATTTTCTAGAATTTTATATAAATAGAATCATAGAGTACTCAGGATAATTATGTTGAGATTCATCCGTGCTGTTGTATCAATACTTCATTCCTCCTAAAGTCAGTTTTATCCTTCCAGAAGAAGCCAGAGTTACATAAGTGTGTCTCAGCTTCTCTCAGCCCTTGCGAGTGTGAACATCGATACCTCTAAACTTCTGGCCTTGCCTTGCTGGTTTCTGGAGGCAGATGCTAGGGTTTTAACCACAATCTCTATATAGGAGGATGACCCCCAAAACAAAACTTCAACTTCATTTTCAGGGAGAACCAAGCAGTGATAACACATAAAGAAATGACAACTGAATTTGAGGTCAATATTTCTGAGTAAAAGAATGAAAGAATACTTTTATTTTAAAAGAATACTAAGTGAAAGTATATGTGAAAGGGCATTGAACATCTGCATGCACAGCTCTTCACTGAATGTTATCTAAGCATATTGAAAATGAAAGGATATTTTTGTTTTTATTCTTTTATAATTGTGGTTTAACTAATGTGACTTTATTGTAATAATAAATAGCTTTATCACATGGCCTTCAAATGTCTATTTTGAGGATAGAAATATCCTCCAAGGCCACTGAGGTCTAGAAGTGTCATTTAGGAATATTTTTTAAACACAATATTTTTCTTATAGTATGAGATGTTTATGTGCTTGTCCTGTAAGAGATTAGAGAGCATTATAAAGCTATAATAATTTAAAAAACTGGCATAAAAATAGATTAAGAGATTAAAATAGATAGCACAGAAATAGACATTACTGAGTGCATATATCCATCTATCTTAGAAACCAACTATGAGTATCATTAATCAAAGGGGACAATTGTAGTATTCACTAAATCCAGCTGAGAAAATTGACTACTTAGAAAAAGTAACTTTTCTGTACATCACAATAAACTGGAAATTAGATATAAATTGCAGCACTTTAAATCTTGTTGAATAAACACATTAAAGAATACTGGAAACTGCATGAATCAAGGTGAGAATTTAAATGTAGAATAAAAAATCATATAAAAACATGTACCGATTATGTAAAAAATACTCTAGAAAGCATTGAAATAATTTGATCAAGAAGGCTGATTGAAGCATTCTTCTACCTACATAGTTACTGTAGATTCCTTGAAATGACTGAATAAATATATTGTAAAATATCTTCAGCATTTGCAAAATAATCAAGAAATTCCTGCAATAAGAAAAGACAAAGATAGGAAAGTATGAGAGAAATGAAGCATGGAAGACAGATGCAGAAAGTGAAACATCCGCCTAAAAGGTGTTTCACAATAAGAAAACATACAGTAAAAAGAGAACACAATCAAAGATAGGAGAAAAAAAATTTCCAGAGCTCAGAAAGACTCATGGCATCAACCTGAAAAGGATCACAGTGTGCATGTTTGAGTAGTAAATGAAAAAATGACCCACACCTAGATGTAAAGTGTTTAAATGTCAAAAACTTCAAAGACAAAGCAAAAACCTTAAAGATGTCAAGTTAAAAAAAACTAAGAATTAAAATAGATTGAAAAAATATTTTCATAGATAAAACTGGTTATTTGGATATTATGTTTTTCACAAGTAGTATTGGATGCTAAAAGGAAAAGGAGTCATGCCTGGATCTCATCCCCAGGCAAAAAAGTTAAGGGATCAATGATTTTGAACCTAGAATTTTATACCCAGCAAAACTGTCATTCAAATAAAAGGCAACATAAAGGCATTTTTTTTTTTGTCATGAAAGGACAGCGAAATCTGATTACTTGCACATTTTCTCTAAAACAAGTTATTCAAGGATGTACAGAGTGTGATAATTACTTATAAATTAGTATTTATGCATGACGTAAAAAGGTTATTAACAATATGAAATTAAAATTCCAGGTGATTTCAACATAGGAAATGGCAGGGGTTGGGTGGAAAGAGGTGAATAAATGTTTGCAAAATCTTATTATGTTCTGAAAGATATCATATATATATATAGTTTTAGATATTGACATAAAAATACAAATTAATTCATGTGATTTAAAATTTAAAGTTTTCCATAAACATGTGAAAATATTCTCAAACTTGCTTTAAATAAAAGAGGAAAAAATTATAACTACAACTGAAACACTATTTCTCATTTTTTCGGTTGGCAAAACCTCGGAAATTTGACAGCATATTCTTTTGACAATGTTCTAGGTAAAAATACACCTCTATTATATGGCTTGTGGGAATGCAAAGTGGCGCACACCAATGAAGGGGAATTTGGCAATATCTAGGAAAATTGCATATGCATCTACATTTAAGCCCAGAAAAATCACTTGGAGGGATTTATTCCAAAGATATAAAACCAAAAACATAAAATTTTATGCACACAAGGCTATTTTCTACAGCGTTATTTGTAATAGCAAAAGACTTGGGATAACCTCAATGTTTGTCCTTACTTAGGCAACTGGTTGAGTGAAGTCTGGTAATTCGCACAGTGGAGTAAAATTCAGTTGTATAAAGGTGTGAGGAAGATAATTATATACTGTTATGTAGGGATATCCAGGATCTATCAGTAATGAAGAAACAAAAACCAAGGTACACAAAAACGTGTATAGTTTGGAGCCCTGGTGGCTTGGTGGTTAAGAGCCTTGGCCACTAACCAAAAGGTTGGCAGTTCGAATCCACCAGCCACTTATGGAAACCCTATGTGGGCAGTTCTACCCTGTCTTATAAGGGGAGATAGATAGACATTTATGCATATACATACACGTATTTGCTTATATTTTTAGAATGTAGAGTTAAGCCAAAAATTAATAAAATGATTTTCCAGGAGGAGGGAAAGAGGACTGAAAGTTAGACTTTTTCTCTGAATATATCTTCATGTCATAAATTTGACTTTCGAACCATGTAACTGTTTTATAAATAAGATTATAAAACAAAATGAAATGAAAACTAAAAATAAAGCAATTTCTACAAAAAAAAAGAGAGAAGACCAAAATGAAACAAATGAACCTGACTATGTACTGAGTTAGTGACTTAACCATAAAAAATAATTATTTCAAGTTGCTTTAAAACAGAGTAACTTCACTATACATCTCTAGTAGGATATACCATAAGGACAAGAAAAATGACAAAAAGTAAACAATTTTAGTAATCATACTGTCAG